TTAAAAAGTTACGTGCAACTAAATAAATGACTTTAATGAATAATTAACAAGTACAAAAAATGTCAAAAAATATTCACTTCTTCCAAATACTCTTGTAAATCGTTTACCGAGAACTGCAAATAATTATCACTATTTAAATTGTTGGGAAGAAATACTGGGCCCATTAGATTGATATCCACAATTGATGAACAAAAATTAACTTTGAAAGTCCTTTGGTGATGAGTCGTTTTTTTGGCGTGAAGATTTTTGTCGGCCCAAATATGCTTGTTATGATGGTTTTTTATTCCATTTCTACTGAAGGTAGTCTCGTCATTATCGTCATAAAATCATCAATCGTCCAGTTGAATGAAGGCTCATCTTTTTCTCCTTCCGTTTTATTGAAGAACTTGCTTATTTTTGTGCTACTGGAGAAAATTGTGGCACTACTGAGATAGTAGCTGCTGCTAGTCTTCGTTTACTGACTGAAATAGATAATATGTCTACAGCTTCTTCTATATCTTCTTCAGAAGTGACATTTTCTTTAAACTCATCTTTGTCTCCTGTGAATTCTTTCAAAAAATTACGAGATAATACCTCTTGATCGTCATCGGTATTACTTTCCGGGTCGTTTTCAACACCAACCGGAGGCAAAAGAGCCATTGTTTTATCAATTTTATTTTTTAGTCTGAAAAAAGATTAATGTCAAATAAGCCATATGGACGGTGTATACTATAAAATAAAATAGTTGTGATTCGATGCACTGAAAAAATATTTACAGTGCCTACACAAAAACTTTGTTTATACATAAACAGTATCATGTTTCAAAAATAAGTTCTAAAAAAATTAGCACTGTATAATGAAAAACAATAAACTGATATAAACACCTACCATTTGTTGGTTGGAACAACACGCTTGCTATGCATTTTTTCAAGACTGTATCCATACCGTCAGAACTAAATGTACGAAATTAAGAATTATCGGCTACATACGATAGTGTATACAGTGCCAAGCTTGGCACTATACAGTGCCCAAGAACTGGGCTTCAAATACTATTATAATTGTCAAACAAAAAATTTGAAATATATGTATATTGTAACATACGTTGCCAAATTAAGGTTTAAACTTTGCCACAACAGTAGTATTATTTTTGGTGCTAAAACTTATGTCAGTTGAGTTCAGTAGCTGACATCATCGCTAGACCAAACCGCAGTGGACTCAATGAATCTCCTTTAAATAGGCCCTGATTGATTGCAATTTTTTCAGTTTCGATATTGTTTTCACCACGTAGTTGGAGGTGAATTTTGTCCTCCAGTCTACAGTAAATGTTTTAAGAAAGGTCATATGTTAGCACCGATTTATATATTTGTAATATATTTTATAAGCATCATGCGCACTATAGAAATGCTTCTTGTAGTCGATGAAAGCATAAGAGATTCCTTTTATTTGCTATATATCTGGTTAGAATATGTTTGTCTTTGCATCCTAGTCGAACCCTTAGCGAATGCTTTCTGTTGAAGCTCTATGATATTGTATCAGAGAACAGTGTTGGTAGATATCGGGTTAACAGGATGTGATTTATTTATACAGATTGTAAGAGTAATTAGGGCAATATTTGTGATCTGTATTATTTTGATCCTTTGGTATTAAATAAGTTGTTCTCTGGGTTAGGAAAGATAGTATTTCCTGTGGATTAGAAATAGTGTGATTAATTAATGCTGATAAGTTCTCATGAATACTTCCAAAATTCTTCTTAAAAAAAATTACTTTTATTGTATTTACGGTTTTATTTTTTAACAAACTCTTAAATTTTTTGACGTGTATATACATACAACCAAACTTATATGGAATCACCCAGCATTTCTTACTAATAATAAGAAATGTATGACAACTTTTTTGCAGATAAGAGATAAAGGTTTTGTTGGAAATACGATTCATAATTGATAAAATTTGATCAAGTGCACATTGAAAAATTTTATTATTTGTGTCAAGTTGTAAAACCGAGACGTCAGAGTAAAGTTAAGTTTGTGTTCAAAAAAGGTAATATGCCCTATGTAAGTTTGTCAGATGTTCAGAGGGGAAGAATTGTTGCTCTTGTTGAGCAGGAAATGTCACAAAGGCAAATTTCAGCTACACTACACGTCTTGCAGAGCATTGTTTCAAAAACATATGCAAGATTTGTAGAATTGGGTACACTCAAGAACAGGCCTAGAGAAAATCGTCGTAGTGATCGACTACTGATCGACAAGACCGGATTTTAAGTCAAATATCTATAAGAAATCCAACCTCTTCTTATCCGAGCTCCAAAGGCAACTTTTGCAGACTACAGGTATTGACATTTTAGCTGAAACAATACCAAAGAGACTTCGTTCCCCAAATTTATTTAGCAGGAGGCAGTTGAGGATTCCTGAGTTATCCAGACAGAACAAAATTGATCGGCTAAATTTGTGTCTGGAACACCAGAACTGGACAAATGAAGATTTGCAAAATGTCCTTTTTTCATATGAAACCCGAATTGGCCTGAGATCAGATGACCGTCGAATTCGAGTTTTAAGAGGTCGATGCAGACAAACTAGACTGCAAACTGCCAGATCAGTTCCAAAATATAAAGAAGGAACTGTAATATTTTGAGAAGGTATTATGATGGGAGAGAAAACACCTTTGCGTCCCTTACGGCAAAGTTTAACGGGTCGTCGGTATGTCGATTTGGTACTAGAACCCATAGTTGGGCTGTGGCGAGGTGCAGTGGGAAATATTTTCATTTCCGTGCACGATAATGCCCCTCCACATACCAGCAGAGTTACCACAGATTTTCTGGAAACTGAAGATGTCACTGTTCTGAGCTGGCCTGCCTGCTCACCTGATATTAATCCCATTGAGCATGTGTGGAACCTCATTCTAGGTAAAGCATTAGGTCCAGACCAAATCCCTATAGAAATCTTAAAATGCATGAATGATGAAACCTTAGACAATATAGTAGACTTATTTAACTCAGTATACAAAACAGGACACATACCGAAACAATGGTTACTCTCCACCATTGTGTGCTATCCCTAAAAATACACAAACGCTAATATTGCAGTGAATACAGAACAATATCACTAATAAGTCACATTCTCAAATTATTCCTGAAAAATAATACATGGTCGTATAAATAAAAAACTGGAAGAAGGAATAGATGATAGTCAGTTTGGGTTCAGAAACGGACTAGGAACCAGAGAAGCGTTATTTGCTTTTAATGTGTTAGCTCAAAGATGCATGGATATGAATGTTGATGTGCATGTTTGTTACGTTGATTTTGAAAAAGCATTTGACAAAGTAAGACATGAAAAATTAGTCCAAATTCTAAAGACAAAAAACATAGACCATAGAGACTTACGAATAATAACAAACCTCTACTGGAATCAAAGAGCACAAATCGTAATAGATAACGAACCCAGTCCAGAAATTGAAATCAGGAGAGCAATTAGATTTAATGTATATAGTGAAGCCATTTTTGAAGAAGCATTACTATCTCAAAGTGAAGGAATAATAATTAACGGAAGATCTATTAACAACATAAGATATGCAAATGACACCGTGATTATGACAAGCTCTGCTGAACAACTCCAATTACTGCTAAACAAAACAAACAGTTTCTGTGAAAAATATGGACTAAAAATGAATATAAAAAGATCAAATACATGATAATATCAAAGAAAACAAATATACCAACAAACATACATTTGGGAAATGTACCGATAGAAAGGGTTGATAAATACAAATACCTAGGAACCTGGATTTCAGACAATAATGATCAAACAACCGAAATAAGAGCTAGGATAGAAATAGCAAGAAATGCGTTTGTAAAAATGAAAACAATTCTCTGCAACAAAGATCTTAGATTAGAACTGAGAGTAAGAGCACTGAGATGCTACGTGTTTTCGATACTGCAATATGGGCTTGAAAGCAGGACATTGAAAAAAGAACACATAAATAAGTTACAGTCCTTTGAAATGTGGTGTTACAGGAGGATGCTTAGAATAGCATGGACACAGAAGAAAACTAACACGGAAGTATTGCGAGAAATGGGCAAAGAATGCGAAATAATAAACACAATAAAAATAAGAAAGTTACAATATCTGGAACACGTAATGAGGGGACAGCGATATGAACTGCTAAGGCTGATAATACAGGGAAAGATATGAGGACGAAGGAGTATAGGAAGAAGAAGAGTATCATGGTTGAAGAATTTAAGGGACTGGTTTAAATGCAGTTCTATAGAACTCTTCAGAGCAGCAGTAGATAAAGTAAAAATAGTGATGATGATATCCAAGCTCCGATTGGAACGCACTAAATAAAAAACCTCATTCAAAAAGGATAGAGCTCGAGGTAATCCAGTTGCGGATCAGCTTGTTCAAGCCGATCTAGAAGATTGGACAAACTTACCTCAAGAACAAGTTGACGATTTGATTAGAAGCATTTCCCGTCGTTGGATTGAAGCTTGTATTAGAGCTAGAGGTGGCAACACTGACTACTAAAATGAACAAGATTGTATCTTTCTTTAGTCAACCACTGCAATATTTTCATTTGTTCGTGTTTTTTGCGTTTTTGTTAATTTCAAGCATTTGTAACATTTTTGATTGTTTTTTTTTGATAGTAATTAAAGTGGTTTAGTATAAATGAGTCATTTTCCATTAAAAAAATAGAATACTTACAAATCGGAATACTGGGTGATTCCATATAAGTTTGGTTGTATGTATTTAATGTATCTACCTATTATCTGATGAATTAAAAATATATTATTCAAACACCATACCATGTAGTATTCGTACTTCACTGTCTCTTTCTATGGATTTCCTACAATTTAGTAGATTTCTAGAGCAAAAGATCAAGTTCAAGTTCATCAAATAAGTACCGTAAGCTATCAACGCCGACGGTTCGTTTCTTTAATTTGAAAAGAATAATAAAGGTTTTAATGCCTATAGTTGTACATAACAAATTATAACCGCTAATAAAATTTAACTTTTGTAATTAAACAAAATATGAAGTATAGTGTTTGTGTGTTAATATTTATAGATATATATGGCTCTTATTTTTTACACGGTAAGTTTTGTTTATTTCCTCATTTATAGATTTGTTGATACTTAAAACCGTTTTTCACTTGAACGCATACATAAAGCTCAAGTATTTTTCACTTTCATTATTTTTCTAATTGATAGACTGTCTGTTTATTCTGCTATTGTTGATTGGCGTCTATCACCCTAGAAGAACACTTCTATATATTCCTTCCATGTTCTATTTTAGCTTCATCTTTATGTCCTCTATTATTTGTCCGTTGTTGCATACTACAGGTATTTACTACTACAGGTCTTTTTCTGTCCCTTTTTCTCCAACTGCTGGTGATTTCTTTAAACTTTCAATATATGTATGTCAAAAGAGTCGTGTAATTTCTGTAATCTTTCTATTTCACAGCGATTCTCATTTAACAGAGTTTACGGCTCTTGATTTATTTTCTTGTATTGTGTATCTCAATGTACTTATTATATCTCTTATTTTTCTATATTTTAAAATAATTTTTTTACACCACTAACTTGAGTATTTCATTGGTTTTACATTTCTTTTTCTTACTCTGTACGTACCTCTTTCTCTCTTCTCATCCTTCTCTTACATCTTTTACTTTTCCGGTGTATATTTGGAATTGTAAAACATATCCTGACTGATCAGCACGTACCCATACCTTGTATCCCTTTTTATGGGCTTGATTGGCATATATTGACGATAAACTCCTTCGTCCCTTGAACCTTATCATCGATTCGTCTATTGATTGTTGCCTGCTGGGATAAAATGAGCTTTTATAAGTAGTTCCTTTAGCAATGGTCGCATTTTGTATAGTTTTTTCTAAGTGCCATTACCTTTCTTAGGTTGTCATCCAAATCTGTTACGCGACATACATGAAGAAATAAATTATTCCCTGATATCCCAGAAATCTCTATAACTAGGCAACTTTTTGACACTTAAAAGGTTTATTCCAAAAAACACTTTACTTCTTCAACTGTTCTGGGAGTGTTGTTTTTGTTATTTTCTTGAATTACACAAAAATTAGTTTGGGAAACAACTGTATTCATCTGGTTCTCACTAAACAAATGAACGAAGAAGTCAAAGGGAGTCTATAAAGTATCAGAAACATTTGGTCTAACGTTTTCTGAGAAAGGGCGGAGTTGAAGGACATTATTTGGGTCGGTGGTCCATTTCAACTCATCAAGAATAACAACTGTCTGAAATATCAATTTGTTCACCTAAAACAGCTGACTCAAAGTCATGTCGATATCTTTATCCTTGTTCTCATCAAAATCGGATACGTCAGATCCATCCGATGGTATATCTGTTGGTAAAGCGTAAGCGTTATTGCTTGTTATTTTACTCAAATCAAGGCGTCTTTTCATTTTGGAACTCTGTAACAAAACATCTTCTTCTTTGAGTACCGTGCCCAAGTTTTAGGCGATGATTGCCGATATCGTTCTCGATCTTACGCGGCATGTAATAATTCATCTGCTGATAAGCCAGTCCATTGACGAAGGTTTCGGAGCCATGAGTATTTCTTTCTGCCAATTCCTCTCCTTCCGTCGATCTTTCCGTTGAGTATCAACTGCATTATCCTGTATCTGCTTCCTCTCATTATATGCCCCAGATATTCGAGTTTTCTCTTTTTTATCATCTTTATTAAGTCACCTTCACCTTGACCTACTCTGTTCAAGACTTCTCTGTTTGAAATGTGTTGAACCCATGATATTCTGAGCATTCTACGATATAATCACATCTCGAAGTCTTGTAATTTGTTCATCATGTTAATCTTCATAATCCAGGTTTCACATCCATACAGTAATACAGGATACACATAACATTTTAGGAACTTAATTCTCAGCTGTAAGTTCAGCTGAGAATTGCTCAGAATAGATCTAAGTTTTATAAATGCTTCTCTTGCAATTTCTATACGAGTTTTAATTTCTTCATCCGGATTTAGTGTCTCGTTTATCCAACATCCTAGATATTTAAAATTGTTAACTTTTGTTATCGGTTCATTATTGACAATTAGTTGTATAGCGCCGAGGTCTTGTTTACTAACCACACGTAACTTTGTCTTTGTTGTATTTATGCTTAGTCCGTTATTAGAGCATTCTCTAGTGACTCGATCTATAAGGAATTGAAGATCGTCGATACTTTCAGCCATGATTGCGGTGTCATCTGCATATATGATGTTATTGATAGTTTCTCCCCGATTTGAACTCCACATTGCCCTTCCAAGGCTTTGTTAAAAATTATTTCTGAGTAAACGTTAAACAAAGTTGGGGACAACACACAACCTTGTCTAACACCTCCTTGAATACAAATTTTGTATGTTTCTTTGCCGTCTACCAGAATAGACAACAAAACATACCTATTAGTTATTGATCGGCCTAGTGGCACCTATTGGAACCACCAATCAAAATATCAAAATTCACTTAGTTATCTACGTAGATCATAAAGACTCAATACGGTAACACATAAATACGTCTATTTATCAACAAATTAACATAATACATACCTTTTATGAAATAACAAATAAAACAATAAATAACCTCACTGTCATTCACTTCTGAACTCGCCAAATGTATTATGTACCCTATGCATAACTGCTCAGTCTATGGGTCACAGCGTACGGTTACTCGTGCAGTAGAAAAACATTTGTTTAAAGGTGGTTCCACCGTGGAGCCACTAAGCCGCAAAGGGTTAACATAATTTTTCACCAAAGCCTGTTTTTTATTTCGACTAGTTTTCAAGTTTTATCAAAAAAGAATAAGAGGGGCCTAAAGGAAAACGAGGGGGATATTTCCAACATTCCTGAGAGCACCAAAACCCTCGTGGTGACCTGTCTTGATTTGTTACAGGATTTAAGCGTGGGTTGCTGAATCGTTTTATTACTCTTGTGGGGGTGAAATTATACACTTACACCTTTTTATCTTCGCTTTATTTGTACTTGCACAATACTTTACATATATACACTTTGCAACACTAACTGATAATGGTGAGATAGGGAGAGAGGAGAGAGAGAGACGAGGAGAGAGAATAACTTCTTTAGCGACTTCTTGACTTGAACTACTTAATTCGACTGAATTTATGCTTATATGTAATATGTGACTAGCTTGGGCAAAGGGACAAAGGGTGAGCGGGTGTATGGGAGGCGACCAATACGCCGACGATGTCTGGCTCTTTCCACTAATAAGGGCTAACATGTGATATTCAGGAACAGAGGCGGCGTTAGGTTAAATTGGAACAGTTAAAGAATTAGTTGGTTTTCCAACAGGGCCATCACAGAAACTTTTAATTATTTATTTTCTTTCTAAGTTATATAGATAGACAATTGTGTTGGGAAATCTTTAAAGTAATAATTCCTGCAAATCAATTTGTATAAAACGGTTAATACTCATAAAAGACATTTTTTTATTTTAATATTTGTTCGTGATAGTTAATATTAATAATGACGTTTCAGGTGTTTATGGTGGAATTTGGAATGCATGGGATCTAAGTTATTGGAGATGTTTGCTGAAGAAACACTATGAATGTCCAGATAATAACATTAGATACTACTTGTATACTCCGTAAGTAGATGTCTTATTCCTCGTGAAAATTAATTCAAGTTTAGATAAGTAGATCAATTAATCCTAAAGGAATAAGAGAAAACAACTGCTGTCTTGCAGTACAATTCAATTCTTTTGGTATATTTTTACCAAAACTAGTACTTTTATAGTACTGTATAGTACTATAAAGTTTTGTAGTACTTTAAAGCTAACACTATTTTAAAGTCATTATACAAGTTATAAACAAAATCACGATGCATTCGTCAGAGTGACCAACAAAAGTAAAAACTTTTATTAGACTTAGACCAGAGAAATAAGAATTGATGAATATTGCCATTGTAACTATTATCTAACAATTATAGTAACTGTTAATAATATTATTTTTAGAGACAGTGGAGAAAAGAGGATTACTATAGATATACGAAATCCACACTCCCTCAACTATTCAGGTTACGATTATAACAAAAATAATGTAATTATTATTCACGGATTTAATGGTACAGAAAGCAGATCTCCAATAACGATATTGAGAAATGGTAAATTCATATTTAAAGTAGTCTATAAATTGTATAATTGGAAGATAAAATAAAACTTTTATTTGTTCTAGCTTTATGAAATTATACAGGTTTTTGATAACTGATGACCAAACTTGAAGACGTGCAAAGCTGACTTTGCCTTGCTTTTTTTTAAAAATCGTGAACAGTGAAAAATTCATGTTTTGCCTATAAAACGTTTCTTTAACATGTAAGAGCAAAATGATTCAAATGAAAGTTATAGATCTTAAAAGCTTCTTTAATTTTCGAGTGTCTAAATTAAAATACTTAAACCGAGATGATTGCAAAAAAAAAACATATTTTTGCAGTAATTTATAAATTTTAATAACTTTGTTTCTGGCATAATGACATGTAATATAACTACTTGTTATTATGGCAATTAATGAGTTATTGAAGTGTGATAAATCTCAGCTAGATCAACCAAATAGTTTGTAAGTTATTCAATTGATTATCCAGAGAGCTCTTTCTATTACTTGACAGTGATACGTCCTATCAGGGGAAAATGAATCAATCCCTGCTCTCCGCAGATTCCAAGGGTTTCCTGGCCCGGAAACTAGTACCTTGTCCAAAGTTACGAATGAAGTCCACAACGGCAGCCACAGCGGAGAAAAACAAAACTTCGGTACGGTGCGGATGGTGTAATTGGCGACCCTCGATTTTAGGGTTGATATAGAATCAAGTCAAATACTGGCCAACGGTTTCGAGGGGAGGAGCTGGTAGATATAAGGACACTCTTTTGTCCTGAGATAAAGAAATCTATCTCGAAGGCGGATGAACCAAGGAATGGTCAACGGCATAAGAACGCAGAAAAACAACGGGAAACAGCTGCATAATCAAATAAGAAGGAAAATAAGAGAAGCTAAAGACACTTATTTCACTGAAAAATGCCAAGAAATAGAAGAGTTACAAAACAAGTATGAATCAATCTCCATAAGAAAGTTAAATAATTAGCTGGGGTAGCAAAACAAAAAAACCTCAAGCATACTATTGGACAAACAAGGAATTAAGATAATCAGAGTAACGACAAGGGACTCGAAATAACAAAGTCAAAAGTTATGCATGCAGTAAAGTCCATGAAAAATAATAAAGCTGCTGATCCAGATGAAATACCAAGTGAATTGCTAAAACTGGTCAATGAAAAAAACATCAGTTTTTTAGTCCAACTACTGAACACAATTTATTCCACAGAAATCATGTGAAATGCTGACATCAACATTTATTTGTCTACCAAATAAAGTAAATGCCAAAGAATGTAGTAATTATCGAACGATCAGTCTAATGTCGCATACCTAAAAAACCATGCTAAAAATCAGCCATAATAGAATAAGCGCTAAGCTGGAGATGGATATTAGTTATTCCTAGTTTGGATTTCGGAATGAAGAGGGCACAAGATAGGCACTATTTTCTTTTAACGTGCTGATACAAAGATGTCAGCACAAAGATGTATTAATAATATTTATTATATTTATTAATATAATTAATATATTATATTAAAACAATTTAATAAACATTTTATCAAAATTGATATTAAAAAAACCGTTTAAAAAGCGACTTTTTGTTTATAAATATTTATAACTTTGATTTAGCCATCAGAAGATCAAGATCATTAGAACTTTCAAAAACCTGTAAAGATTTTTTTAGCTTTTTCCATTACTGCCTTTTACATTTTTCTTTGCTTTACTTTTTCCATTACTTTTACATTATACAAACCTTTTTTGTATTTCCCCTGATATTGAACTCCAGAGCATAATCGCCCTTCCTAATGTGTTTTAGCTTACCTTTCAAGAAAAGATTACAATATTTTTACAATCGATTGGTCAACAATAACACATTTCCCTTGCTATATATCAGCTCTATCAAACACTCGATTAGTAGGTCAGTGCGGAGCTAAACTTTACGCTTTTATTATGGCCAATGGAGGATCAGCGACAGCAACTACGTGCGTTGGTCATTCTCTAGGAGCGCATATTTGTGGAATGATGAGTAATCATTTAGATAGGAGACAGCATAAAGTAGTAGGTAAGTATAGTTGAGTATACCTATTATATGAGGCAATACTACAAAGTAGTTCGACATCCAAAAAAGGCCAAAATATTAACTATCGTTTGAAGAAAACTCGTTGGATGATAGAACTACTTCAATCACTATTAGTCACATTGATAATTAAAGGTTCAACGGAAACATCCACTCTAGTAGCTAGATCCTGCATTCTGTTTTCTATAGCAGCTACTTTCTAGCTGTACTAGATTGTGCATGTTGTTCTGTAATCTTAGTTTCTATAATCATTATATTGTAGGTTTGGATCCCGCAAGACCATTGATTGATCGTTATGCTCGAAGAGAATTTCGTTTGTCCAAAGAAGACGCAGATCACGTTCAAGTTATTCATACCAATGCTGGATTTTTAGGAGAAACTAATCAAGTGGGTCATATTGATTTTTGTGTTAATGGAGGAAGATTTCAACCTAGTTGCTACGGTCACAGATTAAGTAAGTATAGTATTAAAATGAACGTCGAAATGGATGTAAACATCTATGAGATTGCGCAGACATGACATTCATCGCCTTCCAACGCTACGCGTGGCTACACTTTCCAAAAGTAAATACAATTGACAGTTTACATGGTACCAACCTTAACTTACTGTAAATGACATATAGCCCTAATATTTAGATTTTGTTTAGTTGATATCAATATTTCAACATATTACAATTCAATACAAGATATGTATGTACTTTTTTATTTATCTTTTCTAGTGAGGGCTAGATGCAGTCATTTTCAAAGTGCCTGCTATTTTGCTCAAACTGTAAGGTATGGAAACTCAATCATGGGTCGACCGTGTAAACCAGGTTGTCCTAAAACTACTTCAAATTGGGGAGTTATGCCAGGAAGACCAATTCCAATGGGCGAAGACACACCGTTTGGGTAATTATAAGATTTTATTACTAATATAAAATAAACACACTGCACATAAAAATATATAAAAAAAATAAATAAAAATATATATAAAATATATAAAAATTTAAAAAATCAATAGTATATGTAGAGCATATTTTTCAGATCATCGCAAAACATTTCGTAATTTTACGTTTTTCTAAGACTAATTTTAACTGAATATGTAAAATTTTTACGTTTTAATTTATCGAACTTTAATAAACATCCAGTCTTTCCCGGTGAAGAGGTTTGGTGGTAATAGAAATAGAACTACAGTCTACTGGTAAATCCTACACTGTGGTCTTTTTGAATATATGTACTGCTGTACGTGATTTCCTTTTAATAAGACATTAGCAATTATATGGATTTTAAGGTTAGGTGGGTTTTCCTGCTTCTGGATTAAAAGGGATGGTGTGTAGGAGTTGATAGGGTTAGAGGTATTTTGTTTCGATTAGTAAATACAATAATTAATGTATGTGATTTTATTTTGATATGATACTTGCAGATTCCAGGGTTAAGTGGGTTTGCCTACTTGTAGACTGAAAGGTATGGTATCTAGGGGTTGGTTAGATTTGGGTTGTGTAGGTTTGAGATTGTTAAATTTAGGATTATTCGATATGTGTTGTAAGGTTTGATCTTGTTGAAATAAGGTTTTTATTAGTTTGGGATTTCTGATATAGAAAAAAGAAGATATCTGACTAAACTCAACGTCATTTAAAATATTGAGACATATTTAAGATGCTTATAACAGTTTCTGAGAGAAAAATTACATTACGATGTTACATAACCTCAAAACCGGCCAACAACAGCTATTTTTGCACTTTTATTTAGGATATCTCAGAAAGCAGAGCCAATTTGGCAATTTGGAGCTCAGATTCACATTTAGCTTACAAAAATCTTAAAAGTATATTCTGATCTATGAGTTTGAATATTAGTCAAATTTTGTCAAAGCCTTAACTACTAACGTGCAACAAAGAATTGTTTTTAACAATATCAAGTTTTTGGAATAATCACATTAAGGTAGAAACCTTAAAATAATCCTAATTTGAGCATTTTTGTCTAGTAGAGGTCGCGTTTTTCACAGCGATATAGAATACGTACATATTGTATACAATATATTTTTGAACCTTTTATTTGATAACTTTATATTGTTCTGAAGCTATTTATTGTGACATTTTAAAGTAATTACTATTTTAATGGGAATAAGCCACAATTGAAGGTTAAAGTACGTTTATTGACGTTTGAATTTCCGATTCGGAAATCATTGATTTCCTAAGTGGAAATTGAAACGTCAATAAACTTACTTTAATCTTTAATTGTGGCTTATTCCCATTAAAATATTAATTATTTGATAACTTTTAGAATTATATTAATTCATAGATATAACGAACGAATGTGATTTTCAGGATTCGTGGCAGTTACTGCGTCCAAACAAATACGTTTAAAGATTGTCCTTACTTCCAATAGACGTTTATACACCAGGAATAAGTTTGATTAAAAAAGATGTTTCAGTGAAGAAAAATCTCCGATGTGCTATGTAATCGGAGGGAAAGGTAAAGATTGTATTTTTTATGAAAAATACATATTGTAAATATACATAATACAAAAAAAAACGATGTTTTGTCATTTTATCCTATGATTTTGCAACATTTGCTATTATTTTTCGATTATGAAGACGTGGTTTCGATTACCACCCTGTAGACCGTATACCTGGAGGTGGCAGCAAGAAAATAAACACAATTGCATTAGAACTCAGATCGACTTTATACTAACCAATCTCCTAAGATTTAGAAATTTCATTAAAAAACGTTAAAACTTATCCTGAAACAGATGGACCTATCAGACCATAAACCCCTTGTCCCAAAAATGCAACTGAGGGTAAAAAGATAATAAAATCCAAAAGATCTGAGGTGAATACTCAGTTGCTCAAGATAAACGAAATACGTGCTGAGGCTTCAACTTGTATAATCTATCAAGAAATGAGAAGATTAATATTAGAAATAAAAAACATTCAGATAGTGAACATTATGTGGAGCAAAATGAAATATTTGTTATAAAGAGAGAACGAAACTCTACAAAAGAAAGAAGAAAATCGGAAACCTAGGATGATCTAAAATGTTCTAAAACCAAATACAATCAAAAAAATTGAAATTTTTGTGTCTTTTTTCCCAGATCATTTTCCAAAATGATTTAAATATCTGAAGTCTGTCTTGTTTCGTCAAGGGCAGACATTTTATAGCACCTGTCTCTTTTTTGCATTGGCATCTCGGTTTCATAGCACGAGATTCCCTTGGTTACTCATAGTTCCATTTTCCTTATTTTTTTCTCTTGCCTAAATAACCTTTTTCTGTTTTCCGTAATCGTCTTTTTTTTAGCAAACCAAGTTGATTCCTGCACTTGAAAACATTTTTTTCTTTTCTTACTCTTTGCTGGGTATTCAATGATGCTAAACTGTCAGAGTAATCGACAATCTTATAGCTTCTGCTGGTGTCACTGTAAGAGATATCAGAAACAGGGATTTCAACACTGTGTTGCAGCTGGACATTGCTATCATCAATATAATTTCAGATATTATAAGAGGTGCTACAAATTTGGTTATCATCGTGAGTTTTTGGTTTAATGAGCAATGGCTGTAATTCATAATAAAGCGTACCCTGATTCTCACCTAGATTATTGGATGTATTTAGATCAGGAAAAAGAGGTTTTTCAGCACCAGATAACATATCAATAATCTCAAGTTGAACATTCTCAACTGTTACTAAACTGTTGTTTTTTATCTTGGACTCAATTATTAATGATGGCAGCTCTTGGTTCACAATTTCTAATTGATCATTCAAATTAATTTTTCTGCTTTGATTTTTCACGCTCTGATAATATATCAAACATTTTTTGAATTCGCCGCATCTGTAATTAAAAATAAACAGGTATTATACAAGGGAACGGAGTAATAAGGCTTACCTTATAAAAGTTGGGTTAAAAAATTGATGCTTGAAATTAAGGGATCATGTAGTACAGTTTAAACACTATATTTGATTGACGTTTGTCTGCAAAACTTTAGCTCTAAAAATCAACAAATTAAGCGTAATTGACATGCTTTCTTTATATCTAAATATATAATATTTAATTAACCTTTTTAACAACACTTTTGGGTGTGTTAAAAATAGTACTTTATAATAAGAAGGAAAAGACAGTTAAGATTTAATTTCACGTACAGCTTATACGTATTTAGGCCTAATAGGCCTCGTCAGAACGGCAATTCATTGTCGCTCTGAACGTGAAAATAAATCTCTTCTGTCTTAAGAAGCAACTCTAACATGGCTTCGTATAGACGCAAATAGCGACATCTGATATTAAAATCCGTAAACTAATGTTCGAAACCAAATTCTTTATAATAATTTTCAACTATATCCCTTAATATAGCTAATAACCCAACTTTTAGATCTTACAAAGCAATTTACAATATACCCGAGAGGTTTTAAGAGAATTAATTTCAATCCACAATATTATACTATTAAAATTTGTTAATATAAAAATAACTTACCTTGTATTACTTCACCAAGTGTAGCTTTCAAAAATAATGTAACGATAAGACTACCAACGAGAATTGAAATATGTACTATTGTAAAAATATACCTCAATCAACCATGGGAGCTTATCGTATATGCCTTGCCTAGCTCAGTATTTCAAGTGTGAGTTCGTCTTGTCTTAAACTAGTTTTAAATTTTAACTAATCATATTTATTAAAAAAATAAATAAAAAAACAATCAACCCTGCCAATGCTTAACAATGAATTAGTGAGGATGATACTTATGACATCGATGACTTCAATGGGCTGCTTGTGTGGCCTCCCAATTAGATGTCATGTCCTCCGGAGAGCTGTAGTTGTAACATGTAGGTGTAGCGTCCCAATTAAGCGATTAAGGCAGTTTTATCGGTGCACCAAAACCTAGGGACAGTGTTTTCTCTGTTATTTACCGACAAAATGTCTCGACGTTTGGACACGGTATTCGAAATTATGTTGCCTTGAAAATGATGGTTTTACTTTTTTTATTTTTTGAAACTTCTGTTGAAAAATTGGATTATACTGTTTACTGTTCTATTATAACCAAACTTTTTACGCCCATCACTTGAAAGAGTTTGTTTTCTGTAATCGTTGATTTTTTTTTCACCTTTCTGTGTCCAGTAATAATCAAGAAAAGCGTGTTTCAACTTCGAAGAATTGCTAAAAATACTGAAATCTAATAGTGAAACGTGTTACTCATCATTGTCGCTTAGTTTTATCGTTATCGCCTTCGTGAGGTCAAATCTCATGAACGTACGGTCAGTTAGTTCGTGTTAAAAGTAATTTATGAATTTATGAATTAAGAATAATGCATTTGTTGTCATTAAACTACCCGTCGGCCGGCGCCACTGAGTAAAGGTGGTCTGGCGTAAGCAGTGTAGAAAAGTAAGTGATACGCCCATTTCAAAACGCAGTATGCTTTAACTGCTAAAACAGCCTTAATAAATTGTTATAATATAGCCAATAAATCCTGAATTAATTATCACTGGACATTCTTGGAACCTGGAAATTAATGTAAGGTACGATGAAAAAAATAAAACTGATAAAGTAACGTATTTATTTTAAATTATTGCAGGTAAAACAGTTTTGAGTTTTTTGAGTCTGGTCTTTGAACAAAAACGTCGCATAATTCACAATCACAGACGTAAAAATTATTCGATGTAAAATATGTATAGAATATATATTATAACAAATATATTGAACAAAAAAAAATAATAAAAAAACTAATAATGACTACGCAGCACTCAATATTTGGTTAATTGCTTTTGATCTTTTTGTTGGCTGTGAACGAACAGGCTATTTTGTACAATGCAGGAAAGCGTTCTATCAAAAAATATATTATTACCAGGTACAATACGATAGCGATAGTCAAAACGAGGTCGAATATAGCTGGTCTTAACGCTGAAACAAAAGTATTTAGTTAATATTTTTGATACATAGATGAACGCTGCAGAAATATTCTGCATCTTATAGTCCCAATACATCTACAATCAAATATAAACAATATAGTAGAGCGTTACGATGTTGTTTCGAAGTGAAATCTTGTAAAAATTGTGTGTGTCTCGGTTGTACACACTTGTGATATTTGATCGGCCTAGGGGTACGGAATAATTTTCGCAAATAAAAAACATGAATCTCGCATTTACTTTTTTCTATAATTAAAAAATTTCGCATTTATTTCGCATTTATTTTTAATAAAAACGTAAAACAACAAAAAACGTTAATTAAAAGCTAATCTCATTGTAATTTCGACATTCGACTCTTTAAGAGCTGTTCTTCGATCTGTCACTACAATATTATATTTGCTGAAAAATCTTTCTGCGTCTACGCTGTTCGTTAGACTCCAGATGCTCTGTAACGCTGGTTTAGAAAATGACAGAAAACTGCATTGTGCAGCAAGCAAAATATGCTTCACATTGGGATCTTCGTTCCTTCGTATCGATTGAAGGATTAATCTATGAAAGTGAGTATATCCATCTATGTACTCCAATTGTGTCATTGTTCTAAAAAAAGGAATTTTAGAAAAACTTTCTGAGGGTACACTCGGGTTCACAGTAAAATTTGCAGCTGTACATGGGTTAAGTAACTGTTCAATGTGTAAGAGAGCCTCGTTTGTGTATTTTAAAGTCATATGGAGAGTTAATTTATTAAATGCTTTGTCGTTTGCTTTCATAAGCATTTCCTTAGTGTAGCGTCAATTTTTTCGTTTTCAGTGAGCAATCGAGATGTTTTTACATCAAAATAACCTTGGCGATGGGTGTTCAAGTGATGATTTTAAGTCCTCTAATTTGTTACATAAAAGATGGGCGAATGGATAACTGGCTCCTTCCAAATCGTCTAAAACCGAATTAAAAAATTCTACAGTTTTTCAACAAATACAGACATCCAAGTGGAAATTTTCCTCACGAACCGTTAGATGTAGGAAAATTCTGAATATTATCGCTGAAAATGAAATTGATAATTTCATTAATTTTGGACAAAACTCGGTGGTGAAGGTCATTTGAATTTCTAGTTTACGTCTGAAAGCTTCTTCGGCGTAATTGTCTTCGAGAAATTTAATACTGGAATTTTTCACAGACAAGGCAAGATAAGAAGTCCTGTTACGGCATATTTTTGAAGGTACCTGGCTAAAAACCAACCCTCCTTCAGCAAATTCATTTTGTTTCAAGTCATCGATGTAACAACATGTAGTATTAATTATATTTGTAATATTTTTTATTTTCATTATTACAATAAAGTTTCTTTATACAGTGCGTTAAGTTTTTGGTTAGGTATTGCACACTATACGGAGCGCTAAAAATCGGCAACGTTGCAAATGTTCGTTCTCCGACCCGAGACTATATCAGTATCTACACCGACAGAAAATCATTTATTTTAGTTTAGTAACTCACAACAACGTTTGGGATGTACTTTTCTGTCGTCCGATCTCATGTTTCATTACGTAAAGCCGATTTTAATAGTAGGAAATTCGATAAAAATGCACTGACCTAATCGGTGCATTGTTATCGATTTTTTATTAATGTGAAAATTTTTTTGTGGTTGAATTAAAAATAAAAGCGTATTTCTTTAAAAAGATAAAATAAAAAATATACTCTTATTGAAAATTAAAATATTATTCCTAATAAATAAAAAATAATTCTTTATGACATACAGAAATGGTTCAAATAGTTAACCTTCTATGGCTGAACAGTACCCCAATGTGTCATAAAAACTTCTGCGAACAGATGAAAGAGTTTTGCTGTAACAGAATTGGAGATTTCTCTTATTCGATTTTTTAATTCATCCAAATTTTGGCCTCTAGCCTCAGGATGAGCGTAGATAATGCTTTTTAAATGTCCCCAAAAAAAGAAGTCCATGGGTGTAAGGCCTGGAGATCGCGCAGGCCATTCAATATCGCCTGTTCCACTGATAACTCGATTCGGGAAAGTATTATTTAAATACTCCCTAATAATTCGAGCGTTGTGAACTGAACAGCCGTCTTGATGAAACCAAACATTCTCCAGATTTACATCAGAAAGATTGAGAATAGCGGGAAGAACATGATTCTGTAACAAATCAAGGTATACTCTACTATTCAAGTTCCCCTCAATAAAAAATGGACCTATTATGTGGTCTCCTACAATGCCAGTCCAGACGTTAACTTTTTGAGGACGTTGAGTTCGGTAAATAACACTTCTGTGCTGGTTTTCCCGCGCCCAATACCTCGTAATCGAAGGATTGTGTCTCCCTACAAACGAAACAGAAGATTCATCAGTGAATAAAATGTTTTTAATAAAATTTGGTTCACTATTAGCCTTCGTTATTAGAGTTTCACAAAACTCCATTCTTCGAAAGTAATCGTCTGGGTAAAGCTGCTGCGTTTTCGAATATTTAAAATTCTTGTAACCGTGCTTTTTCCATACTTTCGTTACAGTAACATTGCTAACATCTAACTTTCTAGCAACGCTTCTACTTGAACGTGTTGAATCTACCTCGATTGTTGCACAAATTTGTGTATCCCGGTATTTTCTTTCCTCAACTTTTTCTGTAACACTTCTTGAGCGTGACATTTTCTGCAATTTTTGAGGCAATAACAACTCTCAAAATTTTTAACAATATTATAAATTGACTGTACACAAGGAATTGGTCTTCCCTCAAAAAACACAGAAAATAAATCTACACGCTGTTGCGCAGAATTGTCACAATAAACCAATTTTAATTATTTGAACTTTTTCCGCGGCCATATAAACAGACATGTTTACAAAAATAAATTAAAACTCTACGCTGTTATACCTTTAAAACAACCACGGTATAATGAATGACAATACGACAAATTTGCCGACGGGCGACGAGCAACGACGAGTCAACGAAGCAGATATGTAGTGCAAGTCGACGACGCGCAGTGTTGCCATTTATAGAGTGTATACCTAATCCAAAACTTAACGCACTGTATTATAGCGTTTACATAGAAGTATTAAACAGTTTTATTTACGGTCTTGAGTTCTTTACTAAAACCACGAAAAGTCCAAATAATATTTAGCAACAAGTAACTGGAAGAATTCAAGATTCCGTTTTCCATTGAACAGTTACACAACACTATGTGATTAAGATATTTACTTCGATAGGACACTGCTGAGAACCAAGAATTCTATCTAGTTACGACTGGTGCTGGATGAAATTTTCTGGGAGATTGGTCACATTTTATTTCAAATAATTCAAGTAAGAGTTCTTCATTTTTCTTAAAAGACAAAAGGCTCACTTGACTTTTGCTGTACTCATAACATGTTTAACTCCTTGAACTCTCCTACAAAAACATCACCAACAAGATTAACTTTATGAGTCCAACACTGGTAATGTAAAATATGTGGCGCTATTGGAATTTTTAATAGGTTAAAGCAAGCAGACATATATCTTGCTAAATCTGATACCAGGCCTTGTGAATAATAAATTTCAAAGTATTTTAATGTATCTATAATTGCCTGTGAACACGTTGATGCATTGGCAGTATCAAGGAAGTTAACACTTGCTAAAAAAACATTCTTGATGTAGTACAGAATCTATAGTTCTGAAGAGAATAGCAAAAACACATCTTCCTTGTCCATCCGAGGTTTCGTCTGCTACTATTACAATGGGCTTGTCTTTCAGCTGTTGCTTTGTATTGGCTTTTTCGGTGTGACAGCCCACACCATGGCACTACCTTTCTCCTTGAAGTGTTTTGACATAGAAGAGCACCCGAAACCGGCACGTATTTAGCAATATATTCACGCACAGTTGGATGATCCAATTTATGAAGTGGAATGTTGGCTTTCAGACAGATACTAACTGTATCCTCCACAAAAGTATCATTTTGTTCTTTTCCTCGTTTCTGTCTCTCAACGCCACTACTAATTGACATTTGTCGTTTAGTTGCTGAAGTAGATGCTATAGAATGTGGTTAGTTGACTTCACATGTTTCTGCAGTGGATCATTTTTATTACCTTCCAAACGAGTATTACAATACTTACACATCACAATATTTATGTCACACAGATATAGACCATCTGTTGCAAATTCTTTGACTCGATCACTCAAAATTGTTTTAGGGCGTCCCATTTTAGGGGATACTTTAAGTAACTTTATCTTAATATGAAAACTTTTTTGATAGACTATGTTCTCAGTCAGTAAAAATTGATGTAATGAGCACTGATTGTCCTGATTGACTAATTTATATGATTAGAAAATAAGAATTAGCCGACTTTTATCTCTACTTAGATTTTTACCAATACAAAAGCCGGAAATGCAGATAACAACAGTCGGCTTATTTATATTTCTCAAAGAATCAACATTGAAAAATATCAATTCCTTATCTAATCTTTATCTATTTAATGACGAACAATGAAAGATCCTTCTGTTTCAATACGTGTTACAACAATAAACAATCCTTTCAAAAATTACAATATAAAACTTTGTGTAAAATCTTTCTATACCTTCGTAACTACCTACTTATTTAGGGGTGGGTTGAGCACCTACAGATATTTCGCAGAAATAAACAACTCCATCGCATTTATGTTCAAAATTTCGCCGAAACTCGCATCTATTTCGTAAAAACGAAAATTCCGTATCCCTATGATCGCACATGTATGAGACCTCTTAGATTTAGAGTTCATAGAGAAATAAGTCGACCATTAGTGTGGTTAAATTAAATAATTACCTGTAAACGTTGACGACTCCCCCGGTATTATGATAAAATTGGAAATCTGGATCTCTTTTGTCAGGTACAGCTACTGTAACTTTAACTTCCCTTAAAAATTCATTAAAAGTTTGTTTAAATGAAGGCTACCAAGGGATTGTCTTTTGTACTTATTAATTGAGGTGATCGAGCTTCACTAGATATAGTATTGGCCCAACTTTCAATATTTTTTCTACTTATTTTCTGAAAAGAACAAGAATTAGTAAATATAAGCAAGCAAGGTACATACTGAGCGAAAACTAATGTTATACATAACAGTTAAAAGCAAACAGAGAACCTTGACCAAAAGGTCTAAATTGTGCCATAACATGCCCATCAATTCCTAAACTAGACATAATTAGTCAAGTTGAAAAAGTCTCTCAAGAACTGCCAATACACGAAAAGGAAGAATATATAGTACTGTGCAAGTACTATGTCCATAAAAGCAAATGAGTCCATAATATTATCAGCTAAGACGGGCAACGCAACTGTAAGTATGGACAAAAGTCAATATCAGTAGAAAATCCAAGCATTGATCACAAATGGATCTTACAGAAAACTAAAAAATGATACAGACAAATCACTGGAAAACAAAATATATAAAACACTGCAAAAATTTAAGGAATATCTAACAGACTATCAAAGAAGAACACCAATACCGCACGACAGCAGGACATCATATATACAGACTCCAAAAAATTCATAAAGAAGCTGTACCCCTCAGACCAATTTGCAGCAGCATGGGTTCTTCTTGCAGCAAAGTGTTAGTTCCTCCTAGACATAATACAACCTTTAGCAAACAACACACATTTGTAAAAGAACTTTTCTTCCAAAAATTAAACACTTTTATTAAAAACAAAACACCACTAGCAATTTAGAAACACTAACAAAAAGAGATTTAAAGGTGACAACAATATCATACCTAAGGGGTTTATAGGAAAAATTAAAAAACTCTTACCAAAGAACTTCCGAAAACGGATTCATAAGATTCACCATAAATATGTCTAGCTAATGCTTCTGCAACGATATTGGTATTTTTCACCAACCTTTCCATATTTAAATTTCCCCACGTATCCATTATTGTCGATTTTCTAAAATCTCTATGGGTTTTTAACGTAGATATGGTAAAAGCTGGGAGTCTTCTTATACTAAATCGCTCATGTTCCCAACCTAAAACAGTTCACCCAGTAATTCAAAATATGTTATAATAATGTGATTCTAATTAAAGAAAATGATTTGCTTGAGCAAAAAATTGTTTATAAGCAGATTCTGTTCTGCAACATGAAGCGTCAAATATCTAACGGAATTTAATTAAGCATCAGATCTAAGTTTAAGTTTCACTTTAAAAATTTAAAATCCTTTTAATAACATTAATAATTGCTTATTGCTAAACGTGATTGTTTGTTTATGGCATTGAAAATATCGGTGTAACTAGAACACGCGCTGACCTAGTGAAATTTGCAATATAATCAAAAGCTTATTAAATAATGTGTACAAATTATATTAGTAAAAAATTATTATATAAACAAATACACGTGAGTTAAATAGCTGGAAAATAACGGGAGTAGATCATTATTATTAAGAATGAAGAATTAAAAATTAACAGTCGAAGCTAGTGTTGTCATCCGTCAACTGGGTACTCTCTCTATTATTGTACCTAGAGAACCAATTAAGTAATTGTGAGTATCCAGTGAGTTAACAAAAGAGGGCAAAAAAGGGTAAAGCTACTGGAACAGATGAGGTGCCCATCGAATTATTAAAACTCATCGATGAAGATGTTATTGATGTAATGATTGAACTCTTTAATCTAATATATCAGACTGCCACAATCCCCAGACAATGGCTGCAATCAACCTTTTTAGCAATTCCAAAAAACCAAGTTCAACAACTTGCTCAGACCACAGAACAATAGCTTTAATGAGTCACACACTTAAAACATTTTTGAAAATAATTCACAGCAGAATTGTTAAAACTCTTGAATATGAGATTAGTGACACACAATTTGGCTTTAGAAATGGTATGAGTACAAGAGATGCTTTGTTCGGCTTGAATGTGCTGGCTCAGAGATGCATGGACATGAATCAGGATATGTACTTATGTTTTGTAGACTTTGAAAAGGCATTTGATAAAGTTCAACATAAAAAGCTTGTAGATATATTAAAAAGCAAAAAATATTGACAGCCGTGATCTGAAAATTATATCTAATTTATATTGGAATCAAACTGCCAAGGTAAGAGTTGACAGCCAGTACACCGAAAATATCATAATACAGAGAGGAGTCCACCAAGGTTGCGTGCTGTCCCCACTACTTTTCAATGTCTACAGTGAAGCGGTATTTCAAGAAGCGCTCTCAGACTCAATAGAAGGTATATCTATCAATGGAGAAGTTTTGAATAACTTACGTTTTGGAGACGATACAGTAATAATTACGGATAACAACAATGATTTACAGAACGTAATGCAACGCCTTAATAGAACGCTGTCATGAGTACGGACTGAAGACAAATTTAAAGAAAACTAAATGCATGATCATGACTAAATCTGCATATGCAAATATCCAATTGACTATTGAAGATACTGCAATTGAGAGTGTTAATAACTATAAATACTTAGGAACATGGATAACATCAGATGTAGACCAAACCAAAGAAATTAAGACACATATTGAAATAGCACGTACATCATTTATTAAACTTAAAAGTTTCTTTGTTGTCGGGATATAAGGTTAGAACAACGCTGAGAATGCTTCGATGTTACGTGTTTCTCTACTCTTCTTTATGGTTTGGAAGCTTGGACACTAAAACAAGTTCATCTGAATAAGTTGGCCGCCTTTGAATTTTGGTGTTACAGAAGAATCCTACGAATATCATGGATTCAAAGAATGTCAAACATGGAAGTAACTAGAAGGATAGGAAATGAGGCGGAAATAATATTAACTATTAAAAGACGAAAACTTGGGTACTTGGGACATGTGATGAGAGGGCAAAAATACGCATTATTACAACTTATTATGCAAGGCAAAATCCGAAGAAAGCGAAATGTGGGAAGAGCGAAGATCCTGGCTTAAGAACTTAAGGGAATGGTTTGAATGCAGTAGTGCAGAACTTTTTAGAGCGGCAGTCAACAGAGTCCGCATAGCCATGATGATTTCCAACCTTCGACAGAAGATGGAACTTAAAGAAGAAGTGAGTTAATCAACCACATGCAGGGGGTAAACTACCCCTAGAGTTATACTATATGGAACTCTTGATTGAAGCAATCCCATAAACATTATTAGAATATACAACATCATTATAAATAAAAGTTTAAAATCCACAAACTATTTCATAAAAATAATGTTGAACATTGTTTACAGGTTCAACACTTATTTATGTGCAATATTGTTACGATTGCATTGCTACGCCACTGAGAAGTCTCGTTACCGGTCGTTTGGCGACACTAGCAGTCTAATAATCTGTGGAGCAACTTGAATGTGCGAATTTCGAATCCCTTGCTGCCTTCCAGACTATTCGACGGGGGCAGAGAAACCTGTCGAACAAAAACCGTTACCTGGAGTTCCGTAAAAGTTCTCGATAAACGGAACAAACCATATAAATATGGAAATTTTGACTGAAAGAGTTGGTTTGATAATAGGCACGTATTAAGTAGCGAAATATAAGTTTTAATTGTATTTTCTTTTCTCCTTTTTCCTCAGCTTTCCTCTTTTCAGGGGTCGCTGTTACTTTTCGTCGCCACTTATTTCTATCCATCAGGTTTTCTTCACCGAAACTTTTCTCTCTTAAGTCCTCTGCCACACAGTCCTTCCATCTTCTAAGTTTTTGACTACCTTCCCTTCCATCAACTTCTACCAGCTCTATCCTTCGTCCCACATAGTTTTCATCTCTACGTCTGACATGACCAAACCATTTTAGGCTTTGTTCTTGATTTTTTTTTGAGACGGTAGTCAACCCGGCTCTTTCCCTAATCAAGTCGTTTCTAATCCTGTCCCTTTTAGACTTATCCAACATCCACAGTAACATTTCCATTTCAGCTACCTCCGTCTTCTTTTCCTGAAACTTCTATACATGCCACACTTTATCGCCATATACGAACGCAGGTCTCAGCACACTTTTGTATATCTTTCCTTTCAGCTCTTCCCCG